CCAAGTTGCCCAGGCGGGTCTCGAACCCGCGGGCTCAGGCAATTCACTCACTTTGGCCTCCCAAAGCGCGGGATTACAGGCTGAGCCACCAAGCCCGGCCGCATTTTGACTTCAAATATTCAACTTATAATGAGCTTATTGAGATGTAACTCTATTGTAAGTAAAGGAGCATCTGTACTTACCCAGTAAACACAGAAAGTTGCTGGAAGGCAAAGTAAGCTTCCTCAAATGTGTCAAAAATATGTTTTAGTACAATATTCTTCATATTTCACATCTTCTGAACAGTAATTATTAAATAATTGGTTTCTTCATCTAACTTTGAATAAAGTATTTTATTAAACAACAAAAACATAATAGCAGCACAAAGTATCCAAACAACATTAAAATACAAGTGGTACTTGAATTATATAATACTTAAGAGAGAGAGATATATATATATATATACAGGATGTATGGAGGCATCTCCCTAAGTGAGAAAGATTGGTCCAGCACTATTTTCTGTCATTTTGTTGGAGTGCTGAGTAATATAGTTCACACACTTTTCTTTTGCTTCCTCACTATATCACTATTGCTATTATATGGTTCCTGCCGTTGCATACTTTTTTATATAAACTTTTATATAAAATGTTTTTCAGACTCTGAAGATTCAGAACACTCATATAATGTTGGTTTGGGTTGGGTCTGGGTTTCTGAAGACAAAGATCAACAATAGACCCCTTATATATATCAACAAACAATAACGAAAAAAGAAATGTGGTGCTATCACTTAAGCTACTTATTCAGCAGTAAGCCATGTTTTGTCATTTTCCATTTTTATAGTACTGTTGAAATAGAAAAACCAGGCTCCCATTTACATTAGATTATATGCAACGCCAAAATATAAAACATTATTTGACCCAGGAAAGTAAGCCAGAAATATCACTAAAAAATTTCCTAGATATTTCAATGACCAAGTTACTAACATGTTTTTAAAACTCCATACTTTTAGAGAAAATATCTGTCAACTACTTACAACTGGACGTTTTTGGTACATGTCTACAAAAAGTGCATGCCGTCCCTTTACAACTTTATTTCAAGGGCCAATGCCTTTAAATTGTCAGGTTTGGTGGCTTGGCCTATAATCCCAGCACTTTGGGAGGCCAAAGCAAGTGGATTGCCTGAGCCCATGGGTTCAAGACTAGCCCAGGCAACTTGGTGAGACCTCGTCTCCACAAGTGAAAAAAATTAGCGGGGCATAGTAGCACATGTCTGTAGTTCTGGCTACTTTGAAGACTGAGGTGGAAGGATCACCAGAGCCCAGCAGTAGAAGCTGAGGTGGTCATGAGTGTGCCACTGCACTCCACCCTGGGTAAAAGAGTGAGACTTCAACTCAAGAAAAAAATGGTTGGGTTTATCCATAATATAAATTATGAAAAATACAACATAGTTGGGTGACAGATTGTTCCATATTTAGTATTTAAGAGAATTTCATTCCTGACATTCTCGTATGAATAATCGTCATTTCTTGATAAACAATATTGCCTCATTTGCTGTATTCGAGCTTTCCCTCACTCCAATGAAAGTATGTCTAATAGCTTAAGAGATTTGCCTTCTTGAAGGCTTTGTTACTTGCACTATTCCTCTTTATTGTGAACTTTCTGCTGTATAAGGCTTTACTATGGTTTGAAAGGTTTTTGGAAATCCACTGCATACATACGTTCATAAATTGATATATAAGCATGCTTACCTGCTGCAAGCTTTCCCTACATAACATTTATAGAATTTCTACACTAAAGGAGTACTCTGACATAGTATTCTGATATAAAACAAGATGTGATTACTTGGAAAATCTACCGTAACTGCATTTTCTGAAGTACAATGAGGTATGGTCTCTATCAAAGACTTATTAATTGCATTCCTAGGCTTTCTTTACTGTATGCGTCCTCTGGTGGTTAATGAGCTGTGACTTCTGTGAAAAAGCTTTCCCACATTCACCGCACTGATAAGGCTTCTCTCCTGTATGAATTCTCTGGTGATTAACAAGCTGTGACTTTTGAGAGAAAGCCTTCCTACATTCATTGCACCCATAAGGTTTCTCACCGGTATGTGTCCTCTGATGTGGTATAAGGTGTGACTTTCGAGAGAAGGCTTTGCCACATTCGTTGCATTCAAAAGGTTTCTCTCCTGTATGTATCCTGTGATGATTAATGAGACTTGACTTCTCTCTGAAGGCTTTTCTACATTCATTGCATTCATAAGGTTTCTCTCCTGTATGAGTTCTTTGATGTCTAATTAGCTCTGACTTCTCAAAGAAAGCTTTCCGACAAAGACTGCATTCATAGGGTTTCTCTCCTGTGTGAATTCTCTGATGGGTATTTAGCTGTGATTTCTGGGAGAAGGCTTTCTCACAGTCCCGGCATTCATAAGGCTTTTCTCCTGTGTGAGTTCTCTGATGAGTTGCCAGACTTGACTTCTCACCAAAGGCTTTCCCACATTCGGTGCATTCATAGGGTTTCTCTCCGGTATGTGTCCTCTGATGGGAAATGAGATGTGACTTCTGACAAAATGCTTTCCCACATTCACTGCATACATAGGGCTTTTCTCCTGTGTGAATTCTCTGATGATTAGTGAGACTTAGTTTCTCACTGAAAGCTTTCCCACATTCACTGCACTCATAGGGTTTTTCTCCCGTATGAGTTCTCTGATGTCTGACAAGCTGAGATTTCCTACTGAAGGCTTTTCCACATTTACTGCATACAAAGGGCTTCTCTCCGGTGTGTGTCATCTGATGGGATATGAGATGTGACTTCTGAGAGAAGGCTTTCCCACACTGAATGCATCCATGAGGTTTCTCTCCTGTATGGGTTCTCTGATGATTAATGAGACTTGACCTCTCTCTAAACGCTTTCCCACATTCGCTGCATTCATAGGGCTTCTCTCCAGTATGAATTGTCTGATGTCTAATGAGTTCTGACTTCTCAAAGAAGGCTTTTCTACAATCACTACATCCATAGGGTTTTGTTCCTGTATGAGTCCTATGATGTGTAACGAGTTGTGACTTCCTGCTGAAGGCTTTTCCACAATCCCTGCATTCAAAAGGCTTCTCTCCTGTATGAATTCTCTGATGATTAATCAGATTCGACTTTTCACTAAAGGCCCTCCCACACTGAGTGCATCCATAGGGTTTTTCTCCTGTGTGTGTCCTCCAATGTGATATCAGGTGTGACTTCCGGGAGAAGGCTTTCCCACACTCACCACATTCATATGGTTTCTCTCCTGTATGTGTCCTCTGATGGGATGTGAGCTGTGATTTTTGGGAGAAGGCTTTCCCACACTGGCTACAATTATAAGGTTTCTCACCTGTATGAGTTCTGTGATGTGTAACAAATTGAGACTTTTGGGGAAAGGTTTTGCCACAATTACCACAGCCATAGGCTATTTCTCTTATATGTCTGCTCTGATGTTTAATGAGACTTGATTTCTTAGTGAAGCGTTTCCTACATTCACAGCATTCATAGAGTTTCTCCCCTAAACGAGTTTTGTGATATATGATAATTTGTGACTTTTTATAGGTATCTTTATATTTATCACATTCATAGAACTTTAACCAAGAATCAGCATCCTCAGGCTTGGAATGCAGAAACAACTTATCAAATATATTAAAGTCATCTGATTCTGTTTTTCCATAATCTGCTTTTGGGAGAAGCAAATCTAAATGATGCTTTAAAATCAATCCATCTAAGTCACCTTCATCATTTGATTTACTTAAAGAAACAGAGTTCATGCTCAGACTGAAATTTTTTCCAAATGCACCATATTCGTGTTCTCTTCCCATATTTTTAAGCTTATCTTGGTTATCCTGGGGCCATATCATGTCATCATCTACTTGCCAGACTTCTATAAAGGAAACAAAAAATTTATTTGATTGTACTTTCTGAATAAAACACTGGAAATTCTATGCGGAGTTGAGTGCTTTTTAGGGCTTAGTTTCCTAGTCTGTAGGAAGGCCAAGTCTAATGCCTAACTTGTAGGTATTGACGGGAAAAAATAAATAAATGCTGAAAACAGCAACCAGCAACTGACTAGAAATTAAGTAACCTTTTATTGATGAAAAATATGTTTAATATATAGGGAAAGAATGTGAAAAATACATGAAGAGCAATGAGGAACAAAGAAAGGAGGTTGAAAGAAGCGTTGACTCATGTTCTGAGGAGCTAATTTACTCAATACCTACCGGGTATATATTATGCTCTGGGCAGTGTGTGAGGGATTGAAAATATAAGAGGAAAATGAATAAGGCTCTGCCATTATAAAACATATATTTTAATGGAAAAGATAAAGAATAAACAGAAAATAACAAAATTATACACTGTAGTAAATACTATGAATAAAATAAACATATTTGAAAAAGCAATTGGCAAAAGTCATCTCAAGCTTGAAGAATGAGAAATATTTTGAGTATTTTCTTCCATTCTCACATCACCTTAACTTTAAACCTGCCATATACAACTACACATTACTACCAAGAAAGTCACTTCATGGAGCACATTTTTAGAACATATCATTTTACATCTTAACTACTAAGGCACAGACTTTGAAAATTCAAGTGTACTTTCACTGAAACTATCCCAAGATCCAAGTTTCCATCCTTAAAATATTCTGAGTTTGATAATCATTTGTTATATAGCTTTACTTCATTATTTTCACAACATAACCACATATGTTACCACTGTAAATGCTCCTCAAAAGGCCTATCTTAAGCAAGCAAACCAACAAACAAGCTTAGAAATTTTTTGTGAGGTCATACCTAGAAGTATGAAAGATAACAAATAACGTTAAAACCTTTTACAACATAAGTATCAATGGAAGGCAATACATTTGCAAGAAACTCAAAACCCATTGCGGACCTTAAAATAAATTTTGGAGGTAAAATCAACAAGATTTGCTCCTCAGTTTGATATGGAAAGGATAAAAGGAGACAAAGAATCAAGAATAATCCCTAGGTTTGGGCCATTTGATGAATTATGGTGTTAGTTACTGAGTTGGGAAGGACTGAGGGAGAAATAAATCTGGAGGTTACCATCAAGATTCTACTATTAACATATTAATTTTGAGACTTATATGAAGTTTGGGTAAATGGCATCAGGAAATGTGAGAGAATTGCCTGAGTCCATGGGTTCGAGACCAGCCTGGTCAATTTGGTGAGACCTCATCTCTATAATAAATCAAAAAATTAGCTGAGCATGGTGACACATGCTTGTAATTTCAGCAACTTGGAAGGCTGAGACAGAAGGATCACCTGAGCCCTGTGTCAAGGCTGTGGTAGCCGTGAGTGGGTCACTGCACTCCAGCCTGGGCAATAGAGTGAGACTCTAACTCTTAAAAAAAAAAAAAAAAAGGACTGCCTCACACTTGGTCATTTGTGATATATCCCAAATACCCTCACTCTTTCCATTACTTTCTCTCTTATAATCTGATTCATGACATCATTTCAAATATTGTTCTAACTGGTTTCCGTGCTTCCAATTACATTCCACTCAGTAGTCAGATTAACTTTCAAAATTGTAAATTGTGTTGGTAGCTGGAACTATAAGCACTTGCCACCATGCCCAGCTAATTTTATTGATTTATTGTAGAGACAAAGTCTTGCCAAGTTTCCCAGGCTGGTCTTGAACCCCTAGACTCAAGCAATCCTCTTGCCTCAGTCTCCCAAAGTGTGGGGATTACAGGCTTGAGCCACTGTGCCTGGCAAAAGCAATTAAGGTCAAAAGGATGGGATCCTGATCCAATGGATTAGGGTCTTTATAAAAGAAGACCCCATGGGCTGGGTGTGGTGGTTCAAGCCAAGACCCAAGTTACAACTTTGGGCACTGAATCTCTAATGGGCTTCCTGGGGCAGAAACATCAAATACATGTTACCACATTGTGTTACGGGGGATAGTAAACTCTGTGTGATCCTAATGGCAGGGAGGGAGCATAGGAAACCTGTACATGAACTTTGCCTGTGCTTTTTTCCTGTGATCTAGCAGTGTGCCCTTACAATGTCACTGTAACAAATCTAAGTGAGAAGAACAACTATATGCTAAGTCCCATGGGTCTTTCTAGTGACTCGGTGAACATGGGGGTGGTCTTGGGGATCCTGACACAGTCCTTGTTTGTACAAATTTGATAATTAACTTTGTACTGCCTTACAACAAAACAAATGCTCAAAGTTTAAACGCTGAATTTTCTACGCCTATAATTTCAGCACTTTGGGAGGCTGAGGAGAAAGGACTGCCTGAGCCCATGGGTTTGAGACCAGCCTGAGCAACATGTCAAGACCTCATCTCTATAATAAATAAAAAAATTAGCTGGGCATGGTGGTGCACACCTGCAGTTCCAGCTACTTGGATGGCTGAGGCTGAAGGACTGCCTGTGCCCAGCAGGATGAGGCTGCAGTGGCTGTGAGCATACCTCTGCACGCCAGCCTGGGTGACAGAGTGAGATTCTGACTCAAAAAACAAAAATAAAAACAAATGCTGAATTTTTGAAAATTAATGCAGTTAACTCATCATCTTATTTTTTTTTTTCTTTTCTGAGTTGGAGTCTCACTCGGTAGCCCAGACTGGAGTACAGTGGCCGCTCCCAGCCACCGCAGCCTCGCCTGCTGGGCACCAGCAATCCTTCCGCCTCAGCCTTCCCAGTAGCTGGAATTACAGGCATGCGCTACCACGCCCGGCTGATTTTTTGATTTATTGTAGAGATGAGGTCTCGCTGAACCTGCGGGCTCAGGCAATTCACCCACCTCAGCCTCCCAAAGGCGTGGGATTACAGGCCGAGCCATCAAACCCGGCTTATCTCATCATCTTAACTAAGTCCTATGCTTCTGAAACTTATTTTCCAGTCTCTTACATTTTTTTTTTTTGAGTCAGAGTCTCACTCTTGTCGCCCAGACTGGAGTGCAGTAGCACGTTCCCAGTCACTGCAGCCTTGACCTGCTGGGCTCTGGCGATCCTTCGCCTCAGTCTTCCAAGTAGCCGAAACTACAGGTGCGAGCTACTATGCCCAGCTAATTTTTGATTTATTGTAGAGATGAGGTTTCACCAAGTTGCCTGGTGGGTCTTGAACCCGTTGGCTCAGGCAATCCACTCATCTTGGTCTCCCAAAGTGCTGGGATCACATGCTGAGCCACCAAACCCGGCCGTCTCTTACTTTTAAATGCCTTTCAGTAATCATTAAAGTGATAATTCTCAATTAAAGGGGGGAGAACCCATAAAAATTAGAAAAGATTTCTCAAATTACAAATACCAGTCTTACCATACCAAATTTAAAAACAAGACATACACCACTCTATGGAATCAGTTTTGGTACTGGATCCATGATGTCTGTCATTGAAAAATAAACAAAAAAGTAATATGATGCACATCCTAGCTAAAAACACTTGTATTAAAACAATGCTTAAGCCGGGCTCTGTGGCTCAGCCTGTAATCCTGCACCTTTGGGAGGCTGAGATGAATGGATTGCCTGAGCCCGCGGGTTCGAGACCCACCTGGGCAACTTGGCGAGACCTCATCTCTACAATAAAACAAAAAATTAGCGGGGCGTGGTAGCACGCGCCTGTAGTTCCAGCTACTCAGAAGGCTGAAGCGGAATGATCACCGGAGCCCAGCAGGTCGGGGCTGTGGTGGCCGGGAGTGGCCACTGCACTCCAGTCCGGGCGACAGAGTGAGACTCCAACTCAAAAAAAACCCAAAAGACAATGCTTAGCCAGGCTCGGGGGCTCAGCCTGTAAATTCAGCTCTTTGGGAGGCCAAGGTGAGTGGATTGCCTGAGCCCAAAGGTTGGAGACCAACCTGGGCTACTTGGCAAGACCTCTTCTCTACAATAAATTTAAAAAAAAAGAATTAATGGGGCGTGGTAGCACACACCAATAGTTCTGGCTATTTGGAAGGCTGAGGCGGAAGGATCGCTGGAGCCCAGCAGGTCCTTGCTGGGGTAGCCGTGAGTATGCCACCACACTCCAGCCTGGGCAACAGACTCCAACTCAAAAGAAACCAAACAAACAACAAAAACATGCTTGTAGAAAGAAATCTATAGAGTGAATATGTTATGTTTTGTAGCTGAAATGTCTATTAAATTTTAAGCCCCTGCATCTATGTGTGCAAACAAAGCTCAGGGACCAACTAAAAATTATCATATATACTGTGATCAGGTCTGAGATCAAACTTCAGAAAAAGAGGAGAAAATTTTTCACTGGAGTAGCCAAGGAATATTTCATAAATATGAATGCAGTGAAAACTGCATCTGTACAGAAAGGATTGAGAACTTCCAGATAGCTAGCATAACATCATCAAAAGTTCAGATGCAGAGAGTAAACATACTGTTGTAAATATACTGTCAGAGAGTAAATATACTATCTTAGCCACATCCCTTAGCAATTTTTTTTTTTTGAGTTGAGAGTCTCACCCTTTTGCCCAGGCTGGAGTGCAGTGGCTCACACAATCCTTGACTGGCTGGGCTTGACTGGCTGGGCTCACACAATCCTTCTGCCTCAGCCTTCCAAGCAGCTGGAACTATAGGCATGTGTACCGTGCTCAGCTATTTTTTTTTTTTTCTTTCTGATTTACTGTAGAGATGAGATCTTGCCAAGTTGCCTAGGCTGGTCTCAAACCCCTGGGCTCAGGCAATCCTCTCGCCTCAGCTTCCCAAAGTGCTGGGATCACAGGCTTGAGCCACCACACCCAGTCTTAGCTAAATTTCAAGAACACCTGCAGCTGTGGTAGATAGTTCCTGACATGATGCCTACCGCAGAAACCCCTATTTCTCGGCCTGAGAACTTTCTTGGGCTGCAGAACAAGAAAATTCTGCCCCAGAGTAATATTCAACCATTGAGAGATGGGCGCTGGAAGATAAGTACATGGGCTTCCTGGTCTCTCAGAGCAGCACATCTGAGGTATGCTCTCAGATTGTCTCAGGGGGCTGTCAGCAGACTGAGACTGCATGTCCACAGCGGCTGTGGTCTGAGCATCAGGCCACCATTTAATGACATTGCTACCTCTGGCATTCCCCTTGTCTCACTCTTCCAGTCTCTCGTTACACTCATGAAGAACATATGCCCAATAAATTCTTGCACTCAGATAAGTAACTTAGGGTCTGCTTTTGAAGGAACCTAAAGTACGAGGGGGAACCCCCCCCAAATGGAAATTTATTATAAAAATGTATTTATTCCTGCATGTTTCAACTTCAATCAATGTCAAAGCACTCTCCATTCAAAGTATTACATCTATGAGGACACTTTATCCACTGCTCAAAACAGTTTTTGAACTTGTCAGTTTTTATGTCTTTTGGTGTTTCTGTCATTTTTTGTCTCGCCTCTTTCACATGGACTTTTTTCTCCAGTGAACAAAAAAAATAATCGTGATTTGCTCGGGGCAAGACTGGCGAATAGGGCGGGTTGGGCAAGGGGTCATGCCGTTTTGGGTCAGAAACACGCAACACTCAGTGCGATGCGTGCAAGTACATGGTGATGGCGGAAGAGCCAGTTACCTGTTTCCCACAGCTTGGTATGTTTCTTCTGCAAATCATGACTCAACCTTTTCAAAACTTTCCGATAAAAACTTTGGCTGATCGTTTGATCTGGAGGAACAAATTCCAAGTACACTACAAGGGGCCAACCCTTCAAGAGACAATTCCGGTTATTTATGGATCACCCCGCTTAAGTCAATACCACATAGCATATAATGAGTAGGTAGTTTTAACTGATCCAAGTAGCGTTGAATGCTTTAGGAAATCAAATATGGTGATACCATTTACGGTAACTCACAAAAAATCAGAATTTAGATCTATGTAGCAAGCTGAGAACTTAAGGAATGTGACATCATGGAATTTTTAAGCGGAAGTTGAGGAGGCTTTTATTTTCCAAAGAGTATGAAACTTAAACACGGGACAGCGCGATGACTAACGCCTATAATTCCAGCATTTTGGGAGGCCAAGGTGAAAGGACTGCCTGAGCCCACGGATTCAAGACCAGCCTGAGCAACTTGGTAAGACCTCATCTCTACAATAAATAAAAAAATTAGCTGGATATGGTGGCACGTACCTATAGTTCCAGATACTTGTAAGGCTGAGGCAGAAGGATCACCTGAGCCCAGCAAGTCGAGGCTGTGGTGGCCATGAGTATGCCACTGTACTCCAGCATGGGCAAAAGTGAGACTCCAATTCAAAAACAAAAAACCAAAAAAACTCCCCAAACTTAAAAACACGATGACAATAGAAAGAGTTTATTCTCATACTCCATGGTGTCTACGTTATAGAAAAAAGCAACAAAATAATTTAAAAGGGAAGATAAGGACAAACTGGGAGAAATGACCCATTTTCCGACATCAATGAGACCAAACTGGGGCTTTGCAGGGTGGTCATCTGAGCATCAGAGACACCCAAATTGAGGGAAAAATAAAAACGCTTGCATGTACAAAGCAGAGTATTGTACTATTTGACCACAGGGAATGAAGAGACTGAAGGCAGTCAGACATATCAGGGAACAGACTGCCAAACAAGAAGTCAAAGTTCCACATGTGAGACAGAGAACAATGCTTAGATGAGTAGGACATATTTCATTTTGAGCTACCAAGAAGCTACATAGAAATGTGACTTACCTGAGTAGCTAATATCAATTGTTCTGAATTACCAAACTTAAAGGTTTAGAAATTTTGAAAAGAACTCTCTAAAATACATTTCAAGGTTGAGCGTGGTGGCTCAAGCCTATAATCCCAGCTCTTTGGGAGGCCAAGGTGAGAGAACTGCCTGAGTTCAGGGATTTGAGACCAGCCTGGGAAATTTAGTGAGACCTCATCTCTAAAATAAGTCAAAAAATTAGCCAGGCATGGTGGTGCACACCTGTAGTTCCAGTTACTTGGAAGGCTGAAGCGGAAGGATTGTCTGAGCCTAGCAGGTCAAGGCTGCAGTGGCCGTGAGCATGCCACTGCACTCCACCTGGGGAACAGAGTGAGACACCAACTCAAAAAAATAAAAAAAATAAGCCGGGCTCAGTGGCTTAGCCTGTAATCCTGCACCTTTGGGAGGCTGAGGTGAGTGGATTGCCTGAGCCCGCGGGTTTGAGACCCGCCTGGGCAGCGAGATCTCATCTCTACAATTAATTAAAAAATCAGCCGGGCGTGGTAGCGCATGGCTGTAATTCCGGCTACTTGGAAGGCTGAGGTGGAAGGATCACCGGAGCCCAGCGGGTCGAGGCTGCGGTGGCCGGGAGTGGCACTACACTCCAGTCTGGGCGACAGAGTGAGACTCCAACTCAAAAAAATAAAATAAAATAAAATACTTTTCAAAGATGCCAACTCATCACTGATCAGCTGAGACTGAACTTTGACTTTCTACCATCTTCCTTATTCTCAATTACTCACCTAGAGAGGGTGAACTTGGCATTTCTGCATCTCTTATCCATGGCTCTTCTCCCTGCTCCAACTTGAAGATGACATCTGGTTTTATAACTTCGTACCCTGTTCAGGGGAAATCATAAAGGCCTTGGGCCCAAACACTTGGCTGTGGGGCCTCTGAAGAATGAGCAAGGTTTAGCACCATGATTGGCCTGATTAGCTGTACCTCAACAGAGCAAATAATTCTTACAGTAATGGTAATGTTCTTCTTGGTGGCTAATAGAGTCTTGCAATTCAAGTCCAGACCAACAAACACTTCAGAGGCTCTTATTTACTAGCCCTTAGTTCTTGGGAAAGGTACTTAACCTCTCTTTGCCTCAATTTTCTCATGAGGAAAAAGGGTAATAATTATACTTTCCCCATAGGATTGCTCTGATATTTACTGAGGCAATATATGTAAAACACTTGGTACAGTATGTGGCATACAGAAAGTTTTATACATTAGATGCCACCACTACTGCTTCCACTATTATTTCCTAAGTTTCACAGGCTTCACAACAAACTCAAGACTTCATTATTGGAAGGTGAGATCCAAATACTTTCTTAGTGTCATAGTCCAAGGAAATGTGATCTCCTAAGTTAGGTCCAAAATTATTAAAAATTTCAGAGGCCTACAGCTCTTAGTAACTAAAAAAGAAAAGGCAATGCGTTGGGCACAATCCAAGGTACTCAAGGAAGTTTTTCTTACCCAGTGACACTAGGCTGCTATAGTTCTCCAACATGACATCCTTGTATAAATTCTTCTGATAGGGATTCAGTAGCTGCCATTCCTTTTGGGTGAAGTCCACAGATAAGTCTTCAAATGAGAGTAACTCCTGTAAGAGCACAATTCTAGTAAATCTAAGCAGTTATCACCACAGGATATGGAAAAGATGGACTGGAGTGTGAGCATTTATTCCCATAACAAGTTATGCAAAATGCCCTATCCCTACATATATGCATATTTTGTGTGATAAAATGCCATTGTGCATATTTCCATTCTTCCATTTATACAACTATTAACCTAAAAATATGAGAGAGGTTCTCCAATGAAAAAGGTTTATTTAGGAATAGAGTATTGTAATGGGAATACACAAGCCATAGTAAACTATACGTGTATTCAGGAAGGTAAAGAAAAATGAAGAGGATTTTATGAAAGAAAAATGAGGAAGATTACATAATTATTTTGAAATAATTATCCTTGGCTTTAAAGATCAAGAAGAAAGGTAATGCGAATCCAAGGTTGGATAGATGTCCTTGTAGAAGTATTTTTTGTGTAAAGCTGTAATAATCTTTTTGCCAGGTTATGGTTTTACAGTCTTTTGTGATTGTTTTTGTTATCAGACATACAAGCATGGAAACTCTCTCTCTCTGTGAGTTTCCCTGGCTCTATTTGTTAGGGTTTTGTTTGTTTGTTTTTAAAACTAGTGATTTCATTTTGATTCTGACAACTTTCACATAACACAAGAAAACTGGAGTAGGTTACTTTAAACCCTATGAACAACCAACGAACTATTTACTGGACCTCACATTTGGCACTGGAAGAGGTAGTAGCAAAAGAAAGATAATAAAATAATACTCTCAAAAACAGCTTAGTATTTTGGAGAGCTGAAAACACATACATTTATAAATTAAATAAACTGGCCAGCTATGGTGGCTCAAGCCTGTAATCCCAGCACTTTGGGAGGCTGAGGTGAGGGGATTGCCTGAGGTCACAGGTTCGAGAACAGCCTGGGCAACTTGGCCAGTCCTCATCTCTACAATGAATAAAAAAATTGGCCAGGCATGGTAACATGTGCCTGTAGTTCCAGTTACTTGGAAGGCTGAGGCGGAAGGATCACCTCAGCCCAGCAGGTCGACACTGGGGTGGCTGTGAGCGTGCCACTGCACTCCAGCCTGGGCGACAAGAGACTGCAACTCAAAAACAAACAAACAAGCTGTTAAAATAGCTAAAACAGAAATGAAGGAATGGTCTAGAGTGGATAAAAAGCAGGGAAAGCATTAGTTTATTTGAATGTCAGTTTAGGCTCTATGGAAAATGTAAAGTTGACATGAATTTTAGAAAATTGACAAATTTTCTGCCAAAAAAAAAAGAGGGTACAAAGGCAGGTAACAGCAGGTTCGACACAACAAAAAAAACTGTGAGGGTTGAGGAGACATAAACACTTCAATAAGACAGGATGATAGGGAATGGGATAGTGATTCAATTACAGGCCACAATAAGTGAGGCAAAGTGTAAATAACTTGTTTAGACACCTTTGTGTTGCCAATAGTTAGCCATGAAAGATTTCACAGAAAGAGAAGTGACATAACCAAAATTAGGTTTTAGAAAGATGACTGGATTTTGGATCAAGATGAATTTCTGTTTCAAAGTCACCTAAGATAACAAGAAAACACAAGCACACATCTTTAAAAAAATTCAGCAGGCAAGCCAGATGTGGTAGGATGTGAAGATCTTTCGGGTGTGAGACTGGAAGGATCACCTAAGCCCAGCAGGTAGAGACTGCAGTGGCTGTGAGTGTGCCACCGCACTCCAGCCTGGGCAACAGAGTGAGACTCCGACTCAAAAAAAAAAAATTTTTTAACATGCCATCCGAAAAAAAAAGAAATTTAACCCTAAATAGCATATTATATCCTTTGAGAGGAGTCAGTGAATTTGAAGACAGAACAACAGAAACTATCTGTTTTGACCAATAAAAAGAACAAAACTTAAAAATGGGCAGAGTTCAAAGCTTAGGACATTGTCAGATTTTTTTTTTTTGAGTTGGAATCTCACTCTGTTACCCAGACTGGAGTACAGTGGCTGCTCCCAGCCACTGCAGCCTCCACCTGCTGGGCTCCAGTGATCCTTCCACCTCCGCCTTCCAAGTAACTGGAACTACAGGCACGCACTACCATGCCCGGCTGATTTTTTGATTTATTGTAGAGATGAGGTCTCGCCAAGTTCCCCAGGTGGGTCTTGAACCCCGCAGGCTCAGGCAATCATCCACTCACCTCGGCCTCTCAAAGTGCTGGGATTACAGGCTGAGTCACCAAGCCCGGCCTTTTTTTTTTTTAAATTAGCCAGGTGTGGTAGTGCATACCTGTAGTCTCAGCTTCTCAAGAAGTTGAGGTGGGAGGATCACTGGAGTCTTGAGGTCAAGGCTGCAGCGAGCCATGATCACATCACTACACTCCAACTTGGGTAACAGTGAGATTCTGTTTAAAAAAAAATTCCTAGTAGAAGATGTTGAAACAGAAGGGAAATAATACCAGAGGGCAACTTTAAAAAGATCAAGAACGGGGCCAGGAGCGGTGGCTCAAGCCTGTAATCCTAGCATTTTGGGAGACAGAGCTGAGAGGATTGTCTGAGCTCACAGGTTTGAGACCAGCCTGGGCAACCTGGTGAGACCTCGCCTCTACAACAAATCAAAATATTAGCCGGATGTAGCACATGCCTGTAGTTCCAGATACTTGGATGACTGAGAGAATTTAGTTAATGCCCCGTAAATCCACATTTTATATAAGATAAGGTGAATGTTTTAAGAGAAAAGGGGAATAAAGGAAGAGTCGGTTATTCAGATATCACTGGGTAGGTAGAGGAAATGAGTCTCTCTGTACCTGAGAAAATAAACTTATAATTGACATTACACAGATTTTAGTTTTAGGAGGTAGACTTAGATTTTAGACCTCATGTTACAATTGGCATATCCTTGTTTATGGGAGGCCAGCAAAGAATTTAATTATTAATGATCTGTGGGCAGTCTGTAGACACCTAAGGCCTTTTACCTTTCTACGGGTATTTGGCTGATGCATAATGTTAGTAACAGCTATTCATTTGGAAAGGGGGGGCCTGAGTGTTTTTAATTTTTCTTTGCAAACATTTTGTTGTTGGAGTTCAATTATGTAGGTACTGAATCACTGGCTGTGCAACTGAACTCAATCACTAGCCCTCTTCTCCCTAGAGACTGGGCTTCTATCAACTTGCTCAAAGCCCTAACCCTCTAGTCACATGGTTGATCTCTCCCACATGGCCATCCTCAGATCATCTAGGGGCCTGCCAGGAGTCATGTACACAGTGTACTAGGGCGGGGGGGTGGAATACACGGGACATACTCCTGTTACTGGAGAAATTCCAAAGGTTTAGATGCTGTATTCCAGGCACCCAGGGCAAAGACCAGAAAAATTCTTTTTATACAACATGTAGTCACTAGCTACATATGCTATTGAAATATTGTTTATAGTGGCTCAGCCTGTAATCCCGCACCTTTGGGAGGCTGAGGTGAGTGGATTGCCTGAGCCCGCGGGTTCGAGACCCACCTGGGCAGCGAGACCTCATCTCTACAATAAATCAAAAATCAGCCGGGTGTGGTAGCACGTGCTTGTAATTCCGGCTACTCGGAAGGCTGAGGCAGAAGGATCGCCAGAGCCCAGTGGGTCAAGGCTGCAGTGGCCGGGAGCGGCCACTGCACTCCAGTCTGGGCGGCGGAGTGAAACTCCAACTCAAAAAAAAAAAAGAAAAGAAATATTGTTTGTATTAAATAATATTTTAAAATCAGTATCCAGTCACCTTTGAGGTGTTCAATAAACATTTGTTGCTAGAACTACTGTGTTGTAAGGTGCTTGACATAGAACATATCAATCAGGACAAAAAATTCTGACTGTGCCATTTTAATGCTTAGGGGATAAGTAACAGAGTATCAGTATTTCACCATTAAGTATGATGTTAGCTGTTGATAATTTTCAGGTTACAATTATCAGATTAAGTTGCCTCCTATTCCTAATTTGTTGATAGTATGTATTTCATCATATGCCTTTTCTGTCTGTTAATGCAATCATGTGTTTTCTCCTTTACTGTGCTAATATGATTAATTATGCCGACTTGAATTATACTGACTTGAACTTACCTTGTATTACTGAAGAAAATTTCATTTTAGGCTACATTATGCTTTTTATACATGGCTTGATTCAGTTTGCTAGTATTTTACTAGAAACTGATTGTAAGAATTATTTGCCTATAAGGTGCTTTTTGTTGTGTTCTTCCTAGGTTTGGTATCAGGTATTTGCTGGCTTTATAAAATGAAATGCACTCTTTTTTTTCTTTTCAGTCAGAAACTCACTCTGTTGCCCAGGCTAGAGTGCAGTGGTACGCTCTTGGCCACCACAGCCTCGACCTGCTGGGTTCAGGTTTTCCTTCTGTTTCAGCCTTCCAAGTAGCTGGAACTACAGGTGTGTGCTACCACATCCAACTAATTTTCTGACTTATTGTAGAAATGAGATCTTGCCATGTTGCTCAGGCTGGTCTTGAACCTGTGGACTCAGATAATCCTCTTGCCTCGGCCTCCCAAAGTGCTGGGATTACAGGTGTGAGCCACCATGCCTGGCTCTTTCTATATTCACTAAAAGAGCTGTGTAAGGTTATTTTCTTTTTTGAGTCCAAGTCTCACTCAGTTGCCCAGGCAGGAGTGCATGCTCACGGTCACTGCAGCTTCAACCTGCTGGGCTCAGGTAATCCTTCTGCCTCAGTCTTCCATGTAACTGGAATCACAAGCATGCACTACCATGCCTGGCTACTTTTTTTGGTTTATTGTAGAGAGATGAGGTCTGGCCAAGTTACCCAGACTGGTCTCAAACCCTTGAGCATTTCATTCTGAGATTTCCTTCCTCAATATAATTAATCCAATTGATGCTGTTCTAATTGGGCCTCCTGTTCTTCCACAGAAAAGGCATACACATTTATTTAACATGTACAGGTGAGAGCCTTCAGAATGAACACCCAACCCCCCAGTAAGGCACAGAAGCTTGTGTACCATCTTGAGGTTACAGAAATAATGCAGGCTTAGAGTATGCCTAAAAACAGGTTAGGTTGAGGAGTCAGGTTTTTGTAGTAAGACAGTAGAAAGGAAGAAATTTAGCTTGCAAAGGGGGTCTTGTTAAGTAGGTAGCAGTTTTCTGAAAGAATAGATGGTAAATGTCTTTTCAGACCTTTAAAGGTGTTAGACTCTTAATGTCTCCTAGAGCTAGGAAAGGCATAGAAAAGGTCTGGTTACACTAATGGAGGTTCTCTACAGATACAAATCTTTCCCACAAAAAATAGCTTTGCAGGGCACCTCATTCTGCTGGCCTAGGGGCAGCCATTTCAAAATATGTCAAAAAATATTTTAGGGTAAAATATTTTGATTTCCTTCAGTTCCTACTGTGTTTCACATATTTAAAGATTTTGGTTAGAGGTTGTTAGATAGAGATAGATAAAGGAGTGGAAAGAGAAACTGGGATAGAGTAAATTTAAATGTATTATTCCGTATCTTCAGTAGTTCATCTCTTAGTCTTTTTTTTGAGTTGGAGTCTCACTGTTGCCCAGGCTGAAGTGCAGTGGCATGCTCATGGCTACCGCAGCCTCGACCTGCTGGGCTTAGGCAATCCTTCTGCCTCAGCCTTCTAAGTTGCTGGAACTACAGGTGCATGCCACCATGCCCAGCTAATGTTTTTTGGATTTACTGTAGAGATGAGGTCTTGCCAAGTTTCCCAGGCTGGCCTTGAACCCCTGGGCTCAGGCAATCTGCTTGCCTCTACTTCCCAGAGTGCTGGGATTACAGATGTGAGCCACTGTGCTCGGCTCATCTCTTAGTCTTGAGAATATATCAGTTCAGTTAAATGGCTGTGTCCCATTCTAATGCCATTCTGTATCCCATCTGGCATTGCAGATAGGCTAGTCCTCTATGTACAATGTAGGCAAACAGGTCTTTTATTAATAAGAGGCATTTCTATGAAGATAAGAAGAAAACAAAGGTTAACAGCTGAAGCAGTTTACAGACTAGTGTTTATAGAGCCACTGAAGCATCTTTAGATTGCAGTAGCCATTTGACAGATTTTTTTTTTTTGAGAAAGCAGGATTTATTGACAGGACAGTAAAGCTCCCACAGTGGAAGGAGACCTGAGGGGGTTGCCCCTGAAAGATTTTTTTAAATTTTATTTTTAAAAGCCAATAAATTAAAAGAGACAAGAGCCGGGCATGGTGTCTTACACTTGTAACCTCTGCACTTTGGGAGGCAGAGGTGAGAGGACTGCCTGAGCCCAGGAGATTGAGACCAGCCTGGGCAATATGGTGAGACCTCACCTCTACAATAAATAAAAAAAATTAGCCAACCGTGGTAGCACACACCTGTAGTCCTAGCTACTTGGAAGGTTGAGGCAGAAGGATCACCCGAGTTCAGGAGATCAAGGCTGCAGTAATCATGAGCATGCCACTTCACTCCAGCCTAGATGACAGTGAGATTCTGACTCAAAAAATAAATTACATTAAATAAAAGAGACAGATCAACCAACTGCAATACGTGAACCTTATTTGGATTCTGATTCAGTCAAACCACAACTTATCAGTTTTAAGAGAGAATTAGAAATTTGAACACTAACCAGATTTGAAGACATTAGGAAACTCTCTCAATTGCGGGAAGAGTTGCAATTACAATAAATCTCACAAACAAAATGTTAAATGAGACAAGTAAGCCACAAATGAGCATATAATACAAAAGACAAAACCAAACTGTAGTGTTTAAGGACACATAGATAGGAGTAAAACTATAAAGAAAAACAAAGAAATGGTTACTAAACAAGTCAGGATCCTGGTTACTTACATCAGGAGGAACAGGCTGTGACTGGGAAAGGGCACATGAAGAGCCTCACTTGGGCTGAGAATGTTTTATTTCTTGACCCAAGTGGTGGTTTTGTGCATACTCAGTTGATAATAGCTCATTAAATTGTACTTTTCTTTCTTTCTTTCTTTTTTTTTTTTTTGAGTTGGAGTCTCACTCTGTCACCCAGACTGGAGTGCAGTGGCTGTTCCCGGCCACTGCAGCCTTGACCTGCAGGCTCTGGCGATCCTTCCGCCTCAGCCTTCCAAGTAGCTGGAACTACAGGTGCGCGCTACCACGCTCGGCTAATTTTTTGATTTTTATTGTAGAGATGAGGTCTCACCAAGTTGCCCAGGTGGGTCTCAAACCCGTGGGCTCAGGCAATTCACTCACCTCAGCCTCCCAAAGAGCAGGATTACAGGCTGAGTCACCAAGCCCGGCTATTTTTTTTTTTTAATGAGTTGGAGTCTCACTCTGTTGCCCAGGCTAGAGTGCAGTGGCACGCCGACCTGCTGGGCTTAGGCGATCCTTCCACCCTCAGCCTTCCAAGTAGCTGGAACAATAGGCATGTGCTATCACACCTGGCTAATTTTTTGAATTTATTGTAGGGATGAGGTCTTGCCAAGTTGCCCAGGCTGTTCTCGAGCCTGTGGGCTCAGGCAATCCCCTCATCTCAGCCTCCCAAAGTGCTGGGATTACAGGCTTGAGCCACTGCGCCCAGATGTTTTATTTCTTATATATCCTTCTGCATGTGAATTAGGCTCCAAGTAAATAATTATAGTCACTAAGTCCTGCTTTGGCATTCTACCCTAGATCATACTTTGATAAATACTCTGAAAAATAGCCATAGCATCCATGCATTTATTATACTGTCTTCTCTGAGGGTATTACCTACTAGAACAGACCTCCTCCTTATCCACAAAGGATACATTCCAAGACCCCGAAGGATGCCTCACCTACCAATTGTACAAAACCTGTTTTTTCCTATACATACATACCTATGATAAAGTTTATAAATTAGGCACAGTAAGAGATCAACAACAATGATAAAATAGAACAATTATAACATATTGTAACAAAACTTAGCATGCAATATGGCCATAACTTTTCCAGTCTGAGGTATAAACACAGAACTAACATCTATTTCTTTTTCCTTCTTCACAATTTCATGGACAGAAGATTCCATCTTACAGTAGATCTTAGCAGCTTCAGCATATGATTTTTTTGCTTCCTTATATCAAGAGCTTTTACCTTTCCAATTAAAGGAAGCATGTTACGGTTTCTCTTTGGAATATCCAAATTATTAGCATCACTAATCTTGTGCTATGTGGCTATTATTAAGTAAAATAAGGGTTACTTAAATAGAAGCACTGCAATACCATGACAGCATTCAATCTGATGGCTACCCAGATGGCTCCCAACTAGCAGGCAAGAAGCTCATATAGCATTCATACATGCTGGACAAAGGGATGATACATGTTCTGGGTGGGATGGTGCTGGATTTCATCACACTGCTTAGAACAGCATGAAATTTAAAACTTATAAATTGTTTATTTCTGAAATTTCCCACTTAATAGTTGAACCACGGTTGACCTAAGATAACTGAAATTGCAGAAAGGAAAACTGCAGGTAAGGGGGACCTACCACATACCACTTATTCAAAGACCTAATGACCAAGAAATATTGATTTTCTTTGGGCAATCAGTTTGCTTTTTCCTTTGGACTATGGAACTTACACAAACATTCACATTTCTTTATTACAACTACCAATAATTTGAGAACCAGATTTGCAGCTCAAATGCAACAATTATGTAGGACACTATGGCTTTCAAATATTCAACCTTAAGAACTTTTTGGCCAGGCAGGGTAACTCATGCCTGTAATCCCACCATTTTGGAAGACCAAGGTGGGAGGATCACTTGAGCCCAGGAGTTTAAGACCAGCTTGGACAACATACTAAGACCGTCTTACAATAAATAACAAAATCAGCTAGGTGTAGTGGCTCGTACATACCATACCAGCTACTCGGGAGGCTAAAAAGGGAGAATCACTTAAGTGCAGGAGGCTGAGGCTGAAGTGAGCAAGGATCATGACACTGCACTAAACCCTGGGTGACAGAGTAAGACCCTCTCTTAAAAAAAGAGATTCTCACAGCCCTATAGTTAGTATATCAAGGCTCCAATTTTGCCCCAATACTGATCTTCTATTCTGAAACTATTTTCCCTTGATTTCTTTTCTTTTCTTTTCTTTTTTTGAATTAGAGTCCACTCTGTTGCCCAGGATAGAGTGCAGTGGCACACTCACGACCACCACAGCCTTGACCTACTAGGTCAGACAATCCTTCTGCCTAAGCCTTCCAAGTAGCTGGAACTACAGGCGCATGCTACCACACCCAGCTAATTTTTTGATTTACTGTACAGTCAAGGTCTCACCAAGTTGCCCAGACTGGTCTCGAATCCCAGGGCTCAGGCAATCCTCTCATCTTGGCCTCCCAAAGTCCTGGGATTACAGGATTAAGCCACTGCCCCTGGCCTCCCCTGATTTCTTAACCATTTATACTTTTCTTTTTCAATAGAAGACATACATTTCTTCGAATGCCCTGGGGAAAATGAGAAATAAACAATCAACTCACCTGTAACGTGGTCATTTTCTGTTGCCTGTGCAAAATGATTAGCAAGTCTGAGATCTGTTCTATTGTGTGACTCTTCTGATTCTGTAACAGAGCTCCGGAGTGAGGTCTTCTACACTGAGAACGAATTCCTGGTTCCGAGAACTCTTTTCTTATCTCGTGTGAGCAGGCTTATTTATGAGGAACCACGATCTGTGGACTTAGGGACAAATACACTTCAACTGATATATTCACATTGCACCTGAAATCTTTTTCTCTTACTAGAATTTGGAATTCATGATTATCTAAGGCCAAAGTGTTTGATATATAATTGAAACAGCTCTCAAACAAAGAAACAGGATATAGTAAAACAGAACATTGAAAGTCTATGTCTCTGGCAAACTAATTTTTTAAAAATCAGAAATAAAATAATTTTGAGATTCAGTCCATATTTACTGCAGACACTCAAATGAAAATCACTTTGGCACATGCTATGAAGAAAAAGACAGCTATTTTATTTATGTATTTATTTACTGAGTCAGAGTCTCACTTTGTCGCCCAGACTGGAGTACAGTGGCATGTTTCGGCCACCACAGCCTCGACCTGCTGGGCTCAGGTGATCCTTCCACCTCAGCCTTCCAAGCAGCTGGAACTTCAGGCATGTGCCACCACACCCGGTTAACTGATTTATTGTAGAGATGAGGTCTCACCATGTTGTTCAGGCTAGTCTCCAATCCTTGAGCTCAGACAATCCTCTCGCCTCCACCCCCCAAATTGCTGGGATTACAGGCTTGAGCCACCACACATGGCCAAGACAACTATTTCAGACAGATGTAATTTCTCAAAGTTTAAGTGACTTGTGTTAAAAGAGATTTGAGTTTCAACTTTTTTCCTCACCAGTTATGTGACTTTTGGCAAAAACAAACTAACTTTCTGAGCCTTAGTATCCTATTAAAATCTTCTATCTTGGACAGATGTGGTGGCTCATGTCTGTAATCCCAGCACTTTGGAAAGCAGAGGCAAGAGGACTGCCTGAACCCAAGGGTTCGAGACAAGCCTGGGCAATTTGGCAAGAACTCATCACTACAATAAATAAAAAATTAGTCTGGTGTGGTGGCAGGCGCCTATGGTGCCAATTACTTGGAAGGCTGAGGTGAAAGGATCGCCTGAGTTCAGCAGACTGAGGCCGCGGTGGCCATGAGCACGCTACTGCACTCCAGCCTGGGAGACAGAGTGAGACTCCGACTCAATAAAAATCAAAATTGTCTATATTATTCCTAATTTTTTCCCACCAATTCTATCAATTTATGAAGGAAGAGTATTAAAATCTCCCAATATAACTACAGATTCATCAGTTTCTCCTTATAATTCTGCTATTTGAATTATATGTTTAAGGCTATGTTGTTTTATGCACAGAGGTTATATATCGCTAAAGGATTTTTTTTTCCTTTTTTTTTTTTGAGTTGGAGTCTCACTCTGTCGCCCAGACTGGAGTGCAGTGGCCGCTCCTGGCCACCACAGCCTCGACCTGCTGGGCTCCGGCGATCCTTCCGCCTCAGCCTTCCAAGTAGCCGAAATTACAGGCATGTGCTACCACACCCGGCTGATTTTTTTATTTACTGTAGAGATGAGGTCTCGCTGCCCAGGCGGGTCTCGAACCCGTGGGCTCAGGCAATCCACTCACCTCAGCCTCCCAAAGGCGCGGGATTACAGGCTGAGCCACTGAGCCCGGCTGCTAAAGGATTTTTTTTAAGCATTATGTAATGACACTTCACATCCCAAATGATGGGTTTTGCCTTAAGATCTATTTGAAGGTGAGACTGGCAACATCAGCATTCTTTTGGTTAGTATTTGCCTGGTATATCATCCTCCATCCAACTATATTTAAAATTTTAGTATCATTATTTTTGTCCCATATGGATGCAGCTCAGAGCTCAAATCTGCTGGTTGAAAAGAAAAACCAGCTGGGCACGATAACTCATGTGTATAATCCCACCACCTTGGGAGGCTTAGATGAGAGGATTGCCTGAGCCCATGAGTTGGAGACCAGCCTGGGCAACTTGGCAAGACCTCATCTGTACAATAAATAAATAATCAGCCAGGCATAGTGGTGCATGCCTGTAGTTCCATCTATTTGGAAGCCTGAGGTGGAAGGATTGCCTGAGCCCAGCAGGTCGAGGCTGCGGTGGCCAGGAGTGTGAGCATGCCGCTACACTCCAGCCTGGGCAACAGAAGTAAGACTCCAACTCAAAAA